GCAGTAAATCTTGCAAGATATTGTCTGTTAACATTTAATGCGTGTCACCATGGTACAGTAAATAATTCCTTCTGTACAACACCTAGAACTTGTCTCATTTTATTATTCATTGAACACTGGCAAAGACAAAATCAAAAACCCAGCTCTTCTTGTGTATCAAACGATATCACTGAGATCATAAAGAACTCCTTGATTATGCCAGATTAACACTGTCCATCTCACGTGGTGAGATGGCATTCAGCTAGTCCTGGCATTCAGCTACGAAACAGGCATTCCTCAGAGTTGGACACATAAGCTTCACCATACTGCTTCATACTAATGACCCCTGTGCTCTCCCCTCATTGGATCTGTCGCTTCTAACAGTGTCCCAGCACAGCTCTCCCCTATCATTTTTCTGGACCCCATCTTTCTGCACGTGCTGTGAATTCCACCTTCTACAATCACCTTTAATGCCTGGTGCTACATGCTGAAATGAAACTTATTACGATCAGACGACAAAAAGTCATCATTTTAATGACTTCACAGAGCATAATTGGTATTGTAACACGTACCTTAAATGGCTGTTTAAGTGAGATACGGGCTCATTATCTTCACCCTACAGTCAAATTGCCCCCTTCCCAAATAAAACAACACCATTTAATTCAAGTAATTATTTGCTTCTACAACAGCTTTTCCGTAACATATTCACACACGATTTAAGGAAATAAAAGCCAAGAAGAAAGAAACCAGCACATTTGTAGGGATCTACCAAGTTATTTGTACTTTGATATACTGCAGGCAGAAAAGCTTACAGAACACCCTCCAGGCTCAGAACATCCAAGTGAAGCCACTACCTTGGTTGCTTTGGTGCCAGGAATTCCCTGTCCTCAGAGTGAAGAAATATTATCTGTTGTAAGCCAACCTCCTACTTTTTACAGTTCTGGAGTTACTCCCAAAGTATTCAGACTGCAACTTGAGTTTTCTAGAAAGAAAGAATGCAGTGGCAGATTTGAGGCTTTGCTCCACACCAAGGCAGCTATGCTGCTTTTCTTTAATCATACCCAATATCCTGCAAACATTTAAGAAATGAACTACTGTTTTTCATGTTGTTACAGGCACGAGAATGAGAAGCAGTGGGAAAGCACATGGGTGGAACTCACGAGTGATGCAAACACAAACTGCAGAGTATGCACTGGAGAGGATTGAGAAAGAAAATACCAACAGGTAGAAGGAGTTTCAACGTGGGATTCAATAACTGAAGTCACAGAAAGTTGATACTTCACAAATTAAGTGAAGCTACACAGGGCAAGAGAGAACAGCATGTGATGGTAGCAAAACAAACACCAAACTCGTGTTCCAATACATATTAATGACGTGTGTCTGATTTTCTTTGGGCCTTTGTGCCTTTAAAAGCAGAGGATAAATATTTACTGTGCTAGATGCATACAAAATTACTATGTTGTGTGCTACTTTTAGCCAAATTTTGTCGTCTTAGTATAGTAGTCAGCAAGATACCATACTGGATTTGAGCATATGCTTGCTTCGCTAGCACTTACACTTGCAGGGGAGAGAGATTGAATGCAATTTCTGTGAATGCTACAAAAGAGGTATGCCAGTATGGATGGAAATATACTCATACCGTGCAGTGAGAAATTATTGAGTTATTTTAATCTCAGAGATCTTTATCAGAGATTGAAATAATCCAATTTTTCATGAAAGATACTCCAGCGTATCCAGATCTAATCATCATAATCGGAAATAATTTTGTTGGAAGAATGTGTTAAGACTGATCAATAAGAAACCCTCATGGTAGGCAGCATACAAACAAATCAGAAGCAGTAGCCAACTCCCATCTTAAATTATGACCAAAGTATGAAAATTTTAAGGGAAGGTTCAAAAGTAGAACCTTCAAAAGGAATAAAAGAAGCCCAAACTATGGCCCTGCCCAGGATCCAGGGGTGAGACTTCAGAAAGGAGTAAAACACAACACTGACAACATACAGAGTGGTTTCAAAGCTTTGGAATTTGGGAATTCCGCGCTTGATATCACCGCCCACCAATGAAACACCAAGGCAAACAAACCTGCAAAAAAAAAAGAATATAGGTGGGAAACTTTCCCTGTCCCTAAATGAAAGTCAAAGGCTCCTCCTGAAGTTGCTTACACGTTTCTGCAGGAATTGTCTAAAGTGCTGCCTGTTTGCTTCTGATCCCACGATGCAACTTCCAGCCTTCAAGTAAGCTTCCTAATCCTAATTCCTAATTCCTAATTCGTGGTTATGGCTGCATGCTGCCAGTGTCATTTTGTGTTTGATCCCCCTGCTCTCACAACATGCTGCCGTGCAACTCCAGATGAACTCTGGTAGCGCTGGCCATGAAATCACTCACTGCAATTTGTTTGCATATATATTGAAAAATGAAGTGATGTTAATTGAGATCGGGTGTGGGGAGAGAAAAGAAAAAAATCCAACTCTTGCTTGCAATCCACAACCTCAGCAACCTGCTGCTTAACACTGCAGGGGGCTCTTCTGTCCTGTCCATACCTTGTCTCTGTCCGTGGGTCACACAGCAATATCTAGTAAAACAGAATTAACTTGGAGTTTATGCAGCACCAAGTTTATTGCAGAGATAAACAGAGTGGTCATAGGTCAAAGAAACATAATGAATGGGATCAGTGTATTTCAGTCTGAAATCACGAGGAGCACATAAGAAGCTGAGGCTCTGATGCCTGACCCCTGTCAAGCTGCATCCCTTCCATTCACAAAGCCCAAGATGACTGCTGGAGGATATCAGTGAAGTTGCACTGACTTCTGCAGGACTGTGCCAGCTGAGGGTCTGGCACAAATATCACAGTGTGAGGTCAGAGCTAACAGACTCAAGTGGAAGAAAAGGATTCAATCTTAGGGAAAGTGAGAAAACAGTATTAAAAGCCCCACTAGCTGAATGTTCCAAAGTGATGGAGAACAAATCCTGGTCCTGTATTGCACATCCAGACTGATGACTGCACAGCACCCGGAAGCATTCATTATATATCTGGGAGTGGTCCCAGCAAAGGGCTGAAGTGCTGGGACTTAGCCACAGTGCTATATTGCCTATGTTTATAATTAAGCTCCAGCTCTCATAGTCCCTCATCATAATCACCATGATGCACTGACTGATCTCTGCCAGCTTGGCAATAACTGCCTTCCTCCTGGCTTCACCATGCAGCCCCTCAGCTGCCATTTGTCCCCAAAGCATTGGCACAGGCTGCCCATAGGGGTGGTGGGATCACCATCCCTGGAGGTGTTCCAGAACTGTGGGGACGTGGCACTGAGGGTCACGGTCAGTGGGCATGGTGGGATGGGCTGAGGTTGGATTTGGGGATCTTAGAGTCTTTCCAACCTTAATGATTCAATAATTTTGTCTTGGGGAATGCTTTGCCAGAAGGTATGTTTTCCTGCTGCCTTTTTTCACTGTGCTTCATCTGATCCTTATGCTACACTCAGAGTTAAAAAGCACTGTGGCTGTGAAGGTTAATAATTGACAATGGACAGTGCAGATATCTCAGCTGAAAGCTGAAAGTCAGCGATGCTCAACACATAATTGTCCAGTACAGCTATATTTGTTTCAGGTATAGTGCAGAACATTTTCTCATGCCCAAGATATTACTCTCTTACGATCGCAGGAGTATCTGAACCAGATCAGCCTGCAAATGCTTCTTGAGGAAATTGGGTTTCTCCGCTCTATTAGGAGCATTCCATTTTTATGATTAAAATCAGAAAACAATGTTCTTCCCAGTTAAAGTGAAATGTGCAAAATATGACTTTCCTATAACTAGATTTCCAAATACTTATCTAAAGTGCTCTGAAAAGGTATTAATAAATAAGGATGAAAAATGAAAGCTGCATAGCAAACGTTTCATAAAGTGTATTTGCTCTCTGAGTTATGGACAACATGATTTAGAGAAATAATAATAATACTTTACACTTCTGCTCCTTTCAATTGACACGCTTCCATAAATAAAATGCTGAGCCTTAATCAGAAAGGAAGGTATCATGTTCTCCATTACACAAAATTAGGCAAAAATCAAGGCGAAAACAAATAATCAGCCAACAGTTAAAGCCACAGCCAAGACATTTCTGCAAAGACCCTTACTGACTAAAATTTGTTGCTGTGTGCTCAAACCAAAGGGACACCAAACTATTGTTAAAATTAAGTGTGTTAAGTGTGGTATGGTTGGGATGGTTTGGATAGGTTGTCGTTCCGTGAATAAAAAAGAGCAATAAAAATAGGTGGATTAACCAAGATTGTATCTCATTCTGAGAAAACGTACCATTTTGGAAGGTCTTGATAGCAAAATGAGAAAAGACAACTGGAAGATTCTAAAAAAGGTATCTAGCCAACTGGATCCTGCCATCACAATAGATGTTAGGCAGCAAAACACTTATGATAGTCTGCATTGAAAGGATTTAACCTAGCATCACACAGGCAGGTTGGGGCTGAAGTCCCTGGGGCACCACAGTTGGCTGGACCTATCTGCATTTGTATCTCAGCAGCTAAGCCAGCTAACAGTCAAACTTTTTGGGTGGTTGGTGACTCACAGAACACACTGCAGGGGAGGAAAATTATGTTTTCACTCTCGGATGTGACCGCGGGTTATACAACAGCCGCCAAAAAGAATCCAACAATGAGGTACGTACAAAAAATGTGACAAGTGGAAATAACTGAGAGGCCTTTTCCTCAACACAATCAAAAACCCCTTGGTTCCAGATCTTTGCATCTTCCAGATCACAAAAACAAGGGAGCAGTAGGCTTTTGCAGGTTACAAAGGCCTGAAAACGTGCCATGTGGCTTGCGATGAAGGGCAGCTGGGAGGAAAAGAGGACAGTTGAATTCTGCTACCAAAAATAATCATAAAAGTCCTTGAGGCAAAAAGAAATTAAAAAAAAAAAAACAAGAGGGGATTACTTGGCATACAGGGGTATGCAGGAAGCTCTGAAGGACCAGAATAATACACCATCAAAACACAACTGTTTAAAGAGTACCTTTTCTTCTCTGCTCAGGTTGTTGTCTTTTGTTCCATCTCATTTCGGTGACCATCAATACATCTGTCTTTTCCCTTCTCAGCTGGAAGAGGTTGACAGTAATCCAATTGGATACAAGCCCAGATGCACTTCTTTCTTCGTTCCTTCTTTGTAGCCTGTATAAAAAAACAACAAAACCCAGACAAGACAAGCATTACTTACAATTCAAAGTCAACCTCTATTTCAAACAAACCCCCCAACCAAACATGAAAATAACACCAAAAATCTACTACAGAAATTAAGCTGATAAAAATTATTTCATTTCTCCACAATTTTTGTTCACTCTTAATATTGAGCAGAGCAATGTGACTTGAAAATCGACTCTGCTAAGTATAGAATCATGGGATCAATAAGGTAGGAAAAGACCTCCAAGATCATCAAGTCCAACCATCAACCCATCATCACCACGCCCACTAACCACATCCCTCAGCGCCACATACACCCTTTTCTATATATATAGTGCATAGAAGCATTCTGATCCATTTTTTAATTAGCTAATAACACTGAACTCTGCAGAAATAGGCAGCCAGGTCCATGGTTTCACATGCACACATAGACATGCTGGGCTTGGAAAGGACCCTTCAGAAATCATCTGGTCCAACCCCTCTTGGCTACAGAAGGTTGCACACACCTTTGTCTCTAAGGACAGAGAGTCCACAACTTCTTTCTGTGGATTACCTTCATAATAAAAATATCGTATCTTTTCATATCAAAACTCACAAGATTCCAGCTGTCAGGAAACATTTATTGTCAGAAAGAGAGGTCAGGCATTGGCACAGGCTGCCCAGGGAGGTGGCATAGTCACCATCCCTGGGGGTGTTTGAGAACCGTGGAGATGTGGCACTGAGGGACATGGTCAGTGGGCACAAGTCAATGCTTGGACTTGGTGATCTCAAAGGTCTTTTCCAACCTAAAAGATTCTTAAATCTTTTCTGAACTGGCTAAGCACAGATTCTGCTGCACCTCATTCAGTGCAATTGGGGGTACAGGTAAATTTTGAAGCACTAGGTCTGCTCAGCCTCCTTTTCTTCACCTCTGATGATGCACAGCTTGCTGATTTCCTCCTCATCAAGGTCTCTGATGCTCCATTGCTGCAGATTTGGGTTGCTTTGGACACACAACTGCTGTGCTTGCTGATGCCTTGCCCCAGGCCATAATGCATGTTGGGCTCTCCCTCCTACCTGCTGAAAAGCTGTGTGACCCTCACAGTGACCCCCACTTTGATTAATCGCCTTTGTAAAATCTTTCTTCCTAATACAGCGTTTCTTTGTTGGAGAGACAAAACTTCAATCTTGCAGGTTTAGAAAAGGACAAGCTGGCCTTTAAAGCAAACAGATCAGAAAAGGACTCCTGAGAGGCACTTTCTGAGCTCCTGCACAATTTCGGCCCTGCTTGCAGACGCTGAGAAGATGTGCTGAACTATCTGGGGGCAAAGGGCTGTTCTTGATTGCCTTCTGAGATCTCCTCAAACTCAGTAGCTGCCTTGCCAATTCAATACAGCCATGCTTTGGTGCCTAAGAAAGCATTCCTGAGGACTCGCCTTCCTTTCTTCTTTTCAGAAAGGCATTAGCCATGAAGTTAGCAGAGAAAAGGCTGAAAACATGATTTTAATGCACCTTGAAGTCTCAGAAACCAGGACAAAAACAACTCACCCTCCTAGCGCTCCTCTGTTTCACACAGCTGATTTCAGATTTCTGAATATTCAGGACTGATAACGCTGCTGGATGTTTTTCAGCCTGCACAACAATGCTCTTGGGGTTGATGTGCTCCTGCTAGATTTTAATAGCAACCAGCCACATCTGCACCTGCGGGAGCTCAGCAGGGCTGAAGGCTGCACAGAAGGAAGCAGCACCTTGCAGATTTGTCTGAGCATCTGCAGCACGGGAGCAGCCTGCTTGAGCTGCAGGAGCACAGACAGTGGTGCTCTGAGCCTGTGCTCGGCAACACCTGCAGAGCCATGGGGACCCAGTAAACACAGGTTTCCTGCCTTCTGGAGCTGCTTTCATTTTGTTTTCCTCAAGTCGATGTCAGTCGGTAGCAATGTGAATGCAGTAACGGGGAATTTAAAACCTCCAGCCCCTGTCTGCTGTCAGTTCCATCTCTGCTGCTTTGTAGCTGTCTGCAGGACATTCCTCTGGCCTCACAAACACCGGCTAGCTGCACAGACCCCATAAACACCTCCTCCTCTAGCATATGTATTACAAAACACACCACTTTGTGCTGCTCTCAGCCAGCCAGCAGCTCAGCTCCTTATGTAAGCTTGGGCAGAGATCAACATTTGTTGCTTCTATTCCTTTCCAGCAGCATGAATTGGCGAATAGGAGGTCCCAAGTTCTTCCCTTTCCAGTTGAGTCGCATTTCAGTTTACTCAGAACCAAGGGTGGCTGAAAGGCTCTCTGAGGGAAGGTTGGGTGAAACAAAGAGCTGGAAAAGAGCTGGGGAAACATTAGTTAAATTTCCTCATCTTGCACAGATATCCTCTCATGACACGGAAGGAACGGTACAATATTTTCAGCTCTTACATTCTCAGTAGCACAAGAGGTACAAGGAGATTTCCATCATTGCTCTTGCCTCCAGCACTCAGTGCTTATTCACAGGACCTCAGGATGTCACAGCTCTAAGCACAGTGAGAGAGCTCACTGCTCGCAGGGAACAAGCCAGGAAACACAACTATTACGATTTCACAATCAGAAGTTCACTGTTAATGGTAGCATTGGGGTCTGCATCCAGCAAGAAATATCCCGATTTTCCAGTATCTTTCAACAGCCACTAATGCACATGGAAGATCCAATTCCCAGAAACCAGCAATAAATAAATCCCCTCATTTTCCATTCTGAACTTTACCTGCCCCTGGACCACATTTAATACAAAATATTTTAATTAGAGATGGTTAAAAGTCAACCTGATTATTCACAAAGCAGGTATTTTCTCCTCTTCTGCTGCCTCCTTTGCTCTGCGTAATCACCGTGGTCATTAATTTTAAATAGCGCTAATTACTGTCTTTTGGACTTTCACTAGACATCTCACCCATCTGCACTGGCAAGACCTAAACATGAAGAAAACAGGGTTTGAGTCTTGTCAAAGCCAAGGAGGACAGCAAGGGAGAATGTGCTAAGATACACCCAAGCTGGTGAAGAGGAGGTGTGAAAGGCACCATCTGGATAGCCTGCATCACAGGGCTCAAAATGAGGATAGATAACATTGAAGTGGCAATATTATTACTCTCCTTAAGGGCAGCCACAGCAATTTGAAGTTTAGCATTTCAGTGAACCATTAAAGCGGCAGGCTTGGGTCAGACCAAGGGGTTCATCCAGCCCCACATTAGCACAGTAGGTCAGGACAGCTGTACAAGAAACCCATGGAGAAAAGCTTCTCCCACTGCTCGCTCCTGGCCACCAGCAGCAGTGCTTTCAAGTATTGCCACATCTTAGAAGATGCCCCACTTCTACCCACAGAGGTGGTGGAGTCACCATCCCTGGAGGTGTTCAAGGAACGTGGAGATGTGGCACAGAGGGACAGTGGGCACAGTGGGGATGGATAAGGGTTGAACTTGGGGATCTTAGAGGTCTTTTCTGACTGTAACAATTCTGTGATTCTTATAAAACCCTCCATGCATACAAGCATTTGCTTTCACAGCACTTCTAACGTTCTGGAAACCTGCTTACTTCCTGGAGGGAACACCTGAGCTAAGGAAGCCCACCTGTTGCTTCTCTATGGAGAAAGACGTGCTAGAATGAAGATATCACACAGAATGAGAAGCTAATGCAGGGTAAGAGACTGGTGATGTCCCATCTCTGTTATTCAAAGATAATGAGCCCAACATCTTTCAAGACAAAAACCCCTGTCCAAAATCAGCCAGACAGGCTCATGTTAAATTAATAGATTTTAGGACAAAAAGGAATTATTAGCTCTCCTCCCATGACAAGCTATGCTCAGTATTGAGGTCAAGCTAAACAAATCCATTCCAAGGCCCTGATGTCACAGCGCAACTGAAATGGACTCTTTTTGTTATCTCTGTATTTGCAGAAAACTTTTTTTCATCCCTGGTCATTTCTTTGTGACAATTAGTTGCAAATGAGGGAAGAGGTGGAAACTGCAGCATCTTCCGACAAAATCTGTCTGCTGTTAAATTTACAGCTCAGATTTACACACCTTAAAAAATTCTCACACTTCAGGGAAGCCAAGGACAAACTTGAATATGTGAAATGAACCACCAAACCTTTTGAATTTTTCCCGGCATATGCATGGAAGACAGCTGCCAATCTCAGTATACATCTACTTAGACTGCTCTTCAGAAATATGGAGTAGCTATTTTATAACAAAATCTTGCTATGATTCAACTGAAGCTTCAGTTTCTGCATTCGAAGACTAAATATTGGTTACACAAGGAGAATTTCGGCCCAGATTTTCCAGTGCTGATCACGGCACCGATTCGCTCCATTAACTGTGATGCCTTTGGTTTGTCATCTGCATCTGTTGAAGTGCTGAACATAAATATGGAATGCTGCTTGCAGAAGCTGGGATACATTTGATAAGCACCAAATCCAGCTGCCACTACCAATTATGATTTCCTACAGAAAAATCAACCCATGACACCAGTCAGGCCATGTGGGATGGGAGAGAAACTCCACAATCCAAATTTGAGGTTGGACTTGATGATTCTTGACGATCTTTTCCAACCTGATTAATTCTATGATTCTCATCATTTTTGGTCTTAGGGGTGTACATTTCAAACCTTGCTGATGTCTCAAATACTTCCTACTTTGAACACAGGAACGCTGATTTGTTGAGCTGCTACCAAATCGTGTTTGCAAGCTGGAATCCAAATAGGAAAAGTAAAGACAAAACAAGCCAAGAACACCTAGTTGTCATAGCTTTGCTGCTAAGCTTTCTCCAGTTAAATTCAAGCTCAGCTGAAGGAGAAATGCAGCTTTTCTCCTGTTTCCCTGCACAGGGCTCCTCTACAAGTAAACATTTAAGAAACAATCTCTCTCCCCCTCTCTTGCTTCCTACCATTGTGATTTACAAGGCGAAATTAAAGATATACACATCCTAGAACTTGGGGTTTTCCATCTTGGGTCTCTGATTTATAAAAGCTGCCAGTGGATTTTAAATGCTTCATTTTGATTTAGAAATTGTTGCTTCCAAGTTGCATTTATCTCAAATATTCAGCTGTATTGCGCACCGCTGAATATCTGATTTATGGACTGCAAAATGTATGCAGATAGACTACAAAACATTTATAGATCACTCCCCTAATAACAATACATGCAGCTCACCACCCCAAACATACACAAGTACTCACACACGTGTAAATGTATGTATGTGTATATCTCACATCTTTATATTAAATCCTTCTCCCCTTAATTGCCTTTCTGATGGTCAGATCAGGTACCATGTCAATATATAATGAGAGGCTCTGTGATGTCTTCCTTCCGCCCCCTCACCTTATCATTCCTGCTAACACGTATAAAATTCAGCTTTAAGCACTATTTCCAGCTCCCCAGGTGCTTTTTTCTCCTGCTGCTGCCATCAAAGGCAGAAGCTGAGCCCAGCACGAGAGCCTTGGAGCTGCACAGTTGCAAAAGTGGGCTGAGTAATTGGGGTGGGAGTGCTGCTGTTGTCCTCTGCCCTCGCCATGCTTACCTCTCCCTTCCAGAAGGAAATACTATAGCCTAAATGGAGCCATGAGAGCACTGCCTTCCTTAAATCTGAAAGGGGAAGACTTGCTTTTCCTTCTAGATTCGCACAAGGAACACTGGAAGAAAAAGAGAAAGAGCAAATCCTTCACAGGAGGAGGAGCAAGTTTTACCACAGCTTCACTTTCTTTTACCAACTTTGTGTCTTTGAAAGCTAACAGTTCCTTATCTTTCCCATACAAAGCACATCATCTGCTAACAGCATCACACCGCGCCTCATCACCTACTGGTTTTTATATTAAATAAGCCCAATGGTAGGAAGAAGCTGGGTCCCATTGTGTCAGATCTCTGGCCATCCAGCCGCCTTTTCCAAAGAGCTCAATCTAAATCACCAATTTTACAAGTAGCTGAGCTGGGGAAGTGATGAGATGGTTAACAAGTGCATGGAAGAGATGCACGCACTATTCAGTCAGTCGGCAGCTCTGGTTTCACATCTCCCTATCCATTTAGCAGTTTTGAGCTCCAAGTTCTTTACATGACTCATGGGCAGGACAGCCAACGTCTGGATGTTCTGCTGGACAGACAATTTGTTTTTGAAGGAAGGAGGCATAAGGTGGCTTTGGCCAGGTACAAAGCCAGCGACTTCCCCATACTTCCCTATTTGCTGGCTCCCTCATGACCTCCACCAATTCAGCTACTTGCTCCTGTATCCTCCTTCCTGGTTGTCATAAATAATTTAGTCATTTGAGTTGGAAGGAACCACTAACGGCCAATTCCCCTGCAATGAACAGGAACACCTACAGATCGGGTGCTCAGAGCCTCATTCAGGCTGACCTTGTACTCCTCCAGGGATGGGCATCCACCAGCTCTATGGGCTGCTTCACTATTCTCACTGTAAAAAACCTTTTCCTTCTATCCAGCAGCAGGATTGATGCCCCTTGATGCCCCTTGCCTCCTGGAAATACTCTGAAGATTGATTTCTCCCATAGAATGCCTTGAGACTGCTAGGCAAAAGGCGAGGAGAGGTGTGAAAAGGGTGCTTGGAGCATCTTGACACTGTGCAAAGGAGCAGAGCAAGGACAACCCAGGAAATTATTTTTGAAGCACACCCTGATGCTGACTGCTCCGTGCAGGTATTAACCATGTTCTCACAATGAAAATGTAGGTAGCCTAGTCACTGACAACAGTCTGTAGGCTGAAGGTTCACCATGCTATCTACTACACCAACCCAGACTTGTGCTGTTGAAGCTCCTCTCATCTGCCAGAGGGGTTTTCTTGATTTGTCAATGTGGCACACTGTGGTCTGTTCCATACAATCACAATACAGACTATCCTTCATACAGTCCAAAGGGATAGGACTTATCTAAGGATAAGATAGAGAAGTTCTCAAGGTTGGAAGTTCATCTCCTAAAAGCTGTCGAGAAGAGAAAACGCACACGTGGAGTGAAGGGAGGTGAAAGCACACAGGGGAGAACTATTTGCAACTTTCTGTATAACAAATTCCCTATGTACATTATGTTTAGAGAGTATTAATGGGTATTTATACAGCCAGAAGGCAGGTTTATGAAGACACTCCATAAAATATTGAGCAGAGATAAATAATAATAAAAATATAAGGGAATCCATTATCTGACTTAAACTAAGGTAATTAAAAGCTACGTATTTCAGCTGCCAAAGTGGTAATTCAAGTCAAACTGCAACTTTGCAGACATATTTCCATTAATGCCATCAGTTGTGAGTCATATAATTTCCTCTTCATTGAGCACTGCTTACCTAATTTCACCTTTTCCTTAATCATATACATTACCTAGTTCTCCAAACAGCTGTGCAATTTAACTAGGCGTGGTAAAACCACACTGATTAGCCTGCCTGCAATTTTGAACATGCAAAGCAAAGTACATAACACGATCCTTAAAATAAAATAAAATAAAATAAAAAAATTGAAATTTAGGACAGCAAAGGGATTTGGGGCAATGGCCTGAAAGGTTGCAATTATGATAATCTGCTAGGAAGGCTAAAGATGAAGCTCTTTATTATTCTGTAACAATTTTTTGGGTAGTATTTTATTGCCAATAATTACACAGGTTTCTGTTCTATTTTCATTGCCTCAACATCTCCGAGGTTAATTATGTTGTCAAGATTGCGTCAAAAAGCCACCACTAAAATTATGCTTCTCATTACATGATGATCTAATCAATTCCATGCAGTAATTTTGGTCCAGCCTGTTCTACCAACATACACATCTTGTACATGGAAAAATCTATTTCTCTGTCACACTGTATTATACTGGTTTCCTTGTGCCACTACAGCTAAGAGCCTGTCAGCAGCTCTGCTGCAACCTCTCAGATCATTTCTGGCTGACACTTGACAGGCATTTTCATTACAGAGCCCAATTATATTTACTTGGAATTTCGGTTCCATTTGAATAGACAGAATCAAGTCTCATCTGTTATCCCAAGAGCTGTTAAAATTAGAGCTTGATCCAGGAACCAGAGCCATTAATCTAAAACACTCCTGGAAAAGAAAAAAAACGCCTTGCTTGATAGTTAGCCCTGCAGATCAGGGCAACACCGCCTTTACACTCTGTCCATCACTTAACTAAGGGCTTAGAGAGCTGAACTACATCTTGTTACCCAAGCACACAATTATTTGAGGATCCATGCCCTAGCAAACCTCAGAAGATGAAACAGAAAAATCCCTAACGAGTAGCTAAAATAACCTTGTTCCATGTGAAACCCTCTTATTGTTGGTAAAGATCAACAGCTGCTGTTTAAATAAATGTATAAGGGGTGATGTATAAAAATGGAAAGCACACCTGAGTAGGCACGTCTGAGGATTGGCCATAGGTGAAAACATAAAATAAGAGTTCAGAAGTCTAGAGGTGGCCAACACAAAAGAGAAAAAGGCAACTGAACTTTCCATATTTTTCATTCCCATAGTTAACTAGCTGTGCTTCTGCCTGCAAGCCTTCATCTTATGTTTGCTATCTACAAACATTTCAGTGGCTGGCTTTCTACTGCCAAAAATATTTCAGGGAGGGGAATTTTAAAATGGCATATGTGAATATGCATAATGACAATGTTTTAAAACATATCTGCGCAGGAGTTTTTGCTCCAGAACAGCTCGCCTGATCAGTAGTCAAAAATAATGCTTTGTGGCTTACCAGGCATATCTCAGAATGAATGACAGAGATTGTGTCACAGACCTGCAGCTCTAGAAAAAAAAGAAAGAAAGATGGAAGCAACCAATCCATGGGAGAAAACTGTGATACGCTCATGAAACACAGCTGCTCCCAACAGCAGCGAGGCTGAGTTACGCTCATACGCAAAGGCCAAAATAAGGCTAAAAGCATTGCTCCAGTCCCACCTACGTTCCACCAAGACCCAAACAGTGCACAGAGCTTGGCGTAACGCACGCAGAATGCATTCCATTTGAACTGAATTATTCAGCACAAAAAATATTTTCGGAGATGTAATTACTTTGGCACGCTTTGTTCAAAGAGGAATACAGGTGGAGAGGGTGGTGAGATCCTAATCTCTTTGATCACGATGTGCTAGTCTCTTGCAATCCCTAAACAGCATGCATAATTTAAAACACATGTGATTTCAAAGTAGAATTCCATACATCTATACAAATACGAAATCGTGCAGTACCATTTACAAAAGGTGGGTCAGATCTGCATGGCGCAGCCTAGCTCAAATGAATTCAGACAAATTATCAAAGGATGCATTAAGCAAGGATCAGGCACGAGCAGTAGCTCTCCAGATCTACTGCTGGCAAGGTACAGATTTAAACAGGCTTTGCATCTGATAACAGTTTGAGCTCTCATATAAGAACAGAAGCATTCCCCTCTTGCACTCAGAACGAAAAGAAAAATAAAGAAGAAAAAACCAAAAAAAAACAGGTTTATTCAATACCTGCTCTGAATTCCTCTAAAATGCAGAGTGTTTATGTAAAAAATAGGAAAAACAAGCTGTTGGAAGCACTCATAACTTTTTTCCAGTCCATTTCTAACATTGTGTGTATGCTGTGAGCTGCCCTTTGCCCCATACCTCTACTGCATCTTGCTCCAATGTCTCGTCCCTTGGTACAACACTGCACTGCAATGGGAAGATGTGTTGCCTTAGAGCACTCTTGAAGAAGCCTGGGCCAACGAACAGACCACCTTCTCACCTCCTAAAAAAGAGGAAACCAAACTTAATATCTGCTGAGGTTTGACATGCGTGATAAATGTGCTTCATACAGAGAAGCAACTCACAGTTCTTTCTGTTTAGCCAATGCCTCCGTAATTTTACAGCTGATAGTCAATCACCACTGAAGGGTGAACAGTTTGCTGTGTGGATTGGCTAAGGTACCTATTAATCAACCAGATTAAAAAGACGTTGGCAAATCTCCAATAATTATGCAGCATAATTAAAAGGATGGGAAGCCTGATTTAGGACTTATTAGCCCTCTAAGTCCTTCATTAGCCATATTAGCTCTCTGCATTAGATTCCAAAGGGAAAATATTAATGTTGCACGGTGAGTCAGAAATATTTGACCAGTACTTTTAAATATTAAGCTTGCTCCTAAATTTAATGACCTTGGGAATATCAGTGCATAAAACCAAAGGTTTTTGCCCTGTAGTCTTGAAGTGGAGAGAAAAGCCATACATTTTACACATAGGAAATAGCTTTTTTCATAGGACTGAATTGGAAATCATGATGAACAGCCCATTTTATCCTAATTGGTGTTTCCCTGTACCTCCTTTCTTCTGTCTTTAAAGTGAACAAAAGATACTGATCTGGTGTAAGGAAACATTTTGATATATCCCTTCATCCTTTTTTTTTTTTTTTTCTCCACCATATGCACACTTACATTTTTCAGGTATATATTGACTTCCGAAAAGTATGAGAGAAAACAGGCAAATCAGTGAATCTGCCTTCAAAAAGGCAATCAGGACTCCAAGAGTATCATTACATAACCTTGCAATGTGTTTGTCCCCCTTCTACAAGAATCAGGCGATCTCTTCAGATATGCCACTAAAAATTAAGATGATGGAGGCAAATGTAGATGACAAGGGCACAGTTCACAGAAGCTGTCCTGTAAATTAATCTGCTTTCCTGTGTGCAAGAGCTATGAAAGAAAAAGATAGTTCACCCCAAATTTTTAATGCTAAACAGATGGGATCAATGCCCTGAGGTGATGATAACCGTGAAGACATGGAAATGATGTCAAGAATCTTCAGAGATCTCAGGTTGCACTCCATTTGTGGGTAGAGAGAGTGCAACCTGTGATCAGCCCAGTCACCTTCACATAGAGATCACCCAACTGGGTTCAGTTTCTGTTCTGCAGCAAGGGATTGTACCCTCCCAACATTTAAGAGGAAGAGCTGCAAATTGTAGGACACAGATGTCAACCCAGAGAAGCTATTACTGCACAAACAGCATCTGGCACCTTTTGACAGGCTGCATAAGCAGATGCCATTGCACAAATGCCAGTACTTCTCAAGTGGCTCACCCAGTGTGATACCAACTGGCTACCTTCCTGGTGTGCTCCCAGCTGCCAATGATTCTTCAGTGCAACCTTCTCACCTTTGAGCAAGAATTGACATACAGCTTTAAAGCTAAGGGAGATCTGTCATTTTTTTTTTCCCTTCAATAAAAATAGATGTCTGTTGGGTTAACAGCCACTGTGCTGTAGATCAGCAGCTCCCAAGTGTCACCTTCTCATTTTCCCTGCTGTTCTCCCAGACTGCACTGGAATCCCAATCTCTTACCTGGAGCACAACTGGATACCAATAAAGCCCCCAGGGGAATTTCTCACACTGCCATTTCAGGTATCCATCCACACTGCAGTCACATTAATTAAGCAAGCACAATAGATTTGTACATAGGGGTTCCCACCTAGACAGAGGCATATCCAGGCTCTACAGTTGATGCTGTAGTTGACTTTGTTTTTCTCTGTCATCCCACAACTCCGCTTTTTCTTTCATCTCTATTTAGACCACAAATTGTCTTGGACAGGTATTGGCACAGTCCCTATTTGCAAGGTTCTGTTCTTTAGTTCTTAATGAACTTATCATTGCAATCTATCTCACATTTGCTGAGAAAAGCTTCATTACACGATAAGATAGAGGTGTTCTTGTCTGTCAGGACCTGTTGGAACAGGAGCTGAAGACAGTCATCAAAGTGCACTCTGCCACTACTCCACCCATCACTGCAGCATTTAGGCTGCTGTACCCTGTTATGAAACAACTGCCTGTCCTCCAGAACATCTGTAAAATGAGAAACTCCTCCTGTCTTCCTCCTTGATGGAGCTTTCCAAGCCTGATGAATTAGTATTTTGGCTGGGCCAGCAGTAAGCTAATCAGAGCTGCTTGTTTCTAAAAGCCTCTAAAGCAAAATCCAGATTGCTGCTTGTCTCTGTTTCTCTGCGGTGTTGAGGCACCACTCTTCCTAGGATGACTCTTTTCTACAACACAACATCCCCGCTGCAAAACGTGAAGGGATCTGTTAATTAAGTCAGATTGCCAGTGGCTCCTGGTGGGGAGGCAGCTGCACTGCGTGTTCCAGTGTTTTAAAAGCATCCTGGTGTTCAAGAACATTTGCTGCTATTTTTCGTATGGTGTCTTCCCAAACACCATTAAACAGACTGAAACAGCACATTTGGTCTCATTACAGGTGATCAGGTTGTACTGGAAAACTATGGCTGCACAGCACACCTAGATTGTATGATGCTTCCTTCCCTTCCATTCTTCCAAGTGGGAAGCAACGGTCCTGGTTTTCAAGAGTTTACAGCCTAAATATACGCAGAATTTAGATAACAGCTAAAACCAATCAACAAATAGATGGGGTAAGAAGTACAAGGTGCAATTATTTTCAGTGTTTCAGATACAGCCAGCTGCTCTGCCATCAGTTGCACTTAGACTCTCACTACAGCTTCATCCCTTTTGCTGATGCATGAAAAGGTCAACCCCCGAAAGGCCCTGAGGCCAACAGTTCCAGCTGTAGAAGAACTGTTGCCTTTGTCACTGGGGAAAATCGCCATAGAGCACACAAAGAAAAACGTTTCACAGCTCTGGCCAAGCTTTAAGATGCAAGGGAGAGAGTCAGGCATCGCAATACTGCTTTGATTCTAAGCAGCAGCTGTCCCAGTTAGGTAGGTCAGAGCTTGCTCAGCAATGTCTCCCGAGCAAAGACAGGACAAAGTTGCCTTCACCCACCTTGGGACTTATGATGGAAGAGCAACAACACAGGTACTGTCACAGAGCTGGCACTGACAGTGGAAGGAAGAAGGCAAATTATCAGATCACTGCAAAGGGTCTTCACAGAGAGAAAGAAGGATTTTTTGGGGAGAAATTGGGCTGCTGGAAAGCGGTGGGAAGGGCATTGGTTGATAACTAGGTGCAGCAGAAGAGGTGATGTTGTAAGCTGTGATAACCTTCTGAAATAAGGTCATGTAGTTGCCTGCACAGGGCAGCTGCAGTCCAGAGCATAAGCTTGATCATTCTGTTCTGACTGCCTTATGTCAGTAGTGGCAAAACACGTTTGCTCAGCTGCTGGAAGGACAAAAAACAGGTTCACTTGATGTCTCCACAATCACAGAGATAAAAACAGATCTCTTACAGCGCCTCATTAGGATCCATTGCTTTCAGTTTGTCTGATGGAACTGACACCAGGGCACAGGCAATTCCAGTTCTTAGTGCAATTGCTGTGAATTTAAAATTACGTGTAGATATGATGGGAATAAATCTTTTTCATCTTCGAGTCAACAGAGGAAAAACCACGTATGTGAGTTAAAAAACACACTAACAGCTCAAGGAATCCTCAACCAACTAAGCCCCTCAAAACTTTAAATTTACAGTCACCTATACAAACTGAAAATTCCAGGTTCAGTTTGGTCCTGAAACAGACATGCTTTCTCGTTACTGGCAACACAATGTCAGAGAATCTCCAACATGATTGATTAATTATAGAATCATTAAGGTCAGAAGAGACCTCTATGATCATCTAGTCCTAATGTTCACCTACCGCCAATACTGCCTGATAACCATGTCCCTAGGTGCCATCCTCTCCATGGCTCTGGAAGGATCCTCCAAGGATGGTGACCCCACCGCCTCCCTGGGCAGCCTGTGTCAGTGTCTGACCACTCTTTTGGAGAAGAAGTTTAAAAAAATAAAGATCATGAAAGCCTTTGGCGCAGGAACACTCTTACATAAAGTTCACAGTGTTGAGTGTCCAACCTTTTGGCTGCCTGGGCTGCACTGAGTGAAGAGGAATTGTTTTAGGCAACATATAAAATATATTATATAGTTAATTTCTATAAGTAACAAAACTTCTATTACTTTTTTAATGTTTTTTTTTTAATTAATTATTATTTTATTATTAAAGCATAAGAAAAAGAAAGTGAGAAAAACATAAAACCAATGGGTTGGATCTACACCTTCCTTTCTCTGGAACCTTAAAGAGGAGGACACGGAGATGATTGAGCTTTTCACTTCTATGGTTCACGTGACAAGATCCTACCACATAGAGTCTCATTTTCATTCTGTTCCCAAAATATTAAGACGGGATAATGGAGAGTTAAACAGTCCTTAAGGAACACCACCACTGTGGAGGCAGACAACAGGGAATGTTGTGACGTTAGGCTAAATAGCTGAAGGCAGTGCACTTTGATACAAGTAGATCAGTGCTCCTCCTCGTATGCCATTCGCTAGAAGGGAAAGGCTTAATCAGCAAGGCAAGGGCAAATGAGATGCAGAATCTGAACATAGCCTTCTCTTTGCACTGAACAATAGGGAACCCTCCAGCTGAGGAGAGGATAAAGCAGAAAGAGCCAGTGATGCTGCTCTGAGCCCATCCTATTCCAGGCAGAGCACCTGGATTTTCAGTTAATAAAGTGCGGCCAGGAGATAACTGCTACTATTACAAATAATTGCCTGGAAAAAAATGCATTAGGGTAAGAAAATACAGAGCACATAAAAGCTCTCGTTAACATTCTTTATACATGCTTATCATGAATTTTATACAGGGTTAAATATATTTTCTGGTGACTAACACTGCAAGGCTGAGGATTAAAAAGGATAATGTACAATGTGATTTATGAAGTTTTAATGGAAAATCCCCATGGGTTGTGTATAAATCTTATTTATAGCTTTAAAAGTATGTAATATACTTATTGTATATTTTAAAAAC